CCTCTAGTGCCTCCCTGGGCGCGTGACTTCGCAGCGCTGGCGAGGTTGAATCAGGCGTTCGGTGGACGACGCGGGAGTTCTGTGTGCGGTATATTTCTGCCAGGGGTCGACGGATCTGTGGTGTTTCAGTACAGAGTGATGCCAGCATCCCACTGAGGAAACGGATGTGTTTTGAAAAGATCATGGCTTTGGACGGTTTGCAGTTGGCCAAAAGGTGTTGAGCTGCGTTTAGACTTTGTGCCGTGTTCGGCATTGAGCGCCACATCCCAACGTCTCAACGCGAGGTGCAAGAAGAGTTGCAGAGAAAGGACCTAGAAGAGGCCGGGGTCTTGGTGCTTTGGGCTGGGCCAGGATTATCGACTTTGAATGAAGACAGGTCGCACCACTTTGTGTGTACATTCTTCACTGGGATGTCCCTGTTTTGACAAAGGGTTTTGCCGGATAACTTTTGAAACAACTTGAAACAGAATATAGGTCTTAGCTGAAAGCTGGAGAGCTGAGATGTCTGAAACAAAAACCCAGCTGCCTTGGACCAGCTGCGTTGGACCAGCTTCAGGCAAGCCAACTCGCCGCCAGGCCCGGCTGGTTCCTCGTCCTGCTGTGACGTCCAGACTGACAGACTGTGAAGATAATTGCTTGGCACAGTCGACAAGCAGAGCGAAGCTCATGCTTTTTAGCACCCCGAAGTCAAGTCAGGACTCTATGGCCAAGAATAAGGATTGGTGCCGAAAACACGATTCGGCCCCCGCTGGCGCTTCGCCAGGCTGAGGAGCAAGCTACTGGTTCGCTTGGAGTTGCTCTCACCGGAGGGGAGTCGCCAGGCACACTTGCGATGTACCCCTGCACCACAGGAACCATTGGATTTCCAGGCAGCTGCATGTACAAATCCACAAAAAGTCGGTAGTGTTGTCCAACCACGCGAGGGTCGTTCAAAAGCCGTGAAAAAAGGGCTGCTTGAATAATTTGGCTGCAGTCACGAAAGGTTCTCGGAAGTCCTGAAAAAGGTTTGCAAAAGCAAGTTTGTTGGTTAACCTGATAATAGGTTGGCTTGCGGTTGCAATGACTGGCTGTTTCCGATTGAATTCTAAGGGGCTGTGAACATGCAAGTGGCCAAGAGGCTAGACCTGAGAAGATTGGCTGGCTGCTTTCGATTGCATGTTGGGGGTTGTTATTCAATTGGCAAAACAAAATCAAAACTACATGTTCAGGGGCTGTCCAAAGGAGCACCGAGACTGAGAGGTCTGTAGCAAACTTGCTTTTTGAGATGGTTTCAGCAATCAGAGGTCGCCTGTCAGCCGCAGGTGGCCAAATTGCTATTTGAGGTATTTTCAAAAAGCCATCTGCGAAAGGTTGTCAAATTGCATTGTCATGGGCTGTGAAAATGCTGTTTGACTGTTTCCGGAGCACCGAATTGTGTTTGTTGGGGCATTCAAAAGACAATCTGCGAAAAGTTGGCAAATTATGCATCGACCGGCTGCAGCAATGCAATTGGACATGAAGATTGGCAGCCTGCTTCTGATTGCAGTTTGAGGGGCTGTCACGATGAAACTGCTGTTTCCAATGAAGTTTGCGAATGAATCACGAAAGAACTGCAACCCCTCCCACATAAAGATCTGACATACCAAGCATACTAATTATTAAGGGCTATATATGTCCAGGCGCAGGTTCTTCTCATTCCAAGTCAAAAAAGTTAATGACAGATCTTTTTTTGGCTCCTCCTTCCCACCAAAGACCGACGCAAGGTGGTCAACCTTCAGCAGGACCTCGAGCAGCAACTGCGGACATGGGAAATGCGGAAAAGACCGAAAGACCCTTGATGTTGTTTTCGACGTGAAAGCAATGAGGTGAATGGATAGTGAGGGTGGAGTTGAGGGTGGTTGTGCTTGACACCTTGGCCCAGATGAATGGTTATGGGTGGTTTCTCGGGCTCAAGCCGTTCCCCGGGCCTGCGTCGGCACCAAACGCGGTTCGGGGCGGTCGCGATGCTGCAAATGAAGAGTCCTGGCCTTGGAATTGTTGTTTGGCGATGGAGGTTCTAAGATTTGCACATATGGTAAGGAATATTTTTTATATTTTGTAGATCTTGTGACGAACCCGCACCTGTTTGCCAGAAGTTCGCGACTGTTTTTTTTGCATGCATGCTGAAAACCGGAGGTCATTGAAGGGGACCCTTTGTTTGCAAAGCACCTTGTGTTGATCAAAGGTGACATGTTGAGACAACCTTGCCCATAACAAGTTGTTTCTTCTTTCAGCACTGGGTCTTCATCTATTCTATCTCTTTTCCGAGGTGGCAAGAAGAATCAAAAAAGGGCACCTGTGGTGGGAAAACTAAGCTCCCCTCCTTCCTACCTCGAAAGCTGTAACACAGTAGTTGACTCTGCCAGGCACCTTCGGGCTAGCAGCTTTGCTGCTGTGCCAGGCTTGTTACAGAAGGGTGGATAGGTCATTGAACATGTGGTGCTCGATCAATCTCTTGGCACAGCAGATGGTGTGGGACATGGATTTTTTTTAACATAGGAAAATGTGAGACCCATGTTCCATCAATCTATTCAGCCTTATCTGGGTCTTGGAGCATTTGTGAGGCAAGTTTGCTTCGAGGCAATACACCTCCCATAGGATATTGCAAGGCTTCAGAAGCTATCACATGCATAATCGAGGTTCAACGCGCACGGATAGGGTGCGTAATCAGCACGGATCAGGGTTCAACATGGTTCCACTGGGTCCAGCCATGTCTCACAGCCACCAGGTGCAAGGCGTAGTGCTGGAGACCAAGCACCGGTCACGGACTCAGGAGTTGTTCTTGGGGAATTTGAGGCATCGCAGCTCAGCACGTGCTAGCAAATCCACATGAAGGACCATCACAGATGTCATCCTGGTTTATATGTCTCATGCAGTGACAACTCCGGGGATGATGGGATGTAGTCGTTTAGTTGTTTTCAAGAAAGGAAGGGGCAAACACGTTTGACTGAACATCCAATGCACATGCACACTGGGAGCCACTCAAACAATGCTGATACTCCTGCTGTAGAAGAAAAACTGTTCAAGATACATCGTGAAATTCAGTGCGCCGATTCGACAGCTGCCACCTTCACTTCAATCAGTGGATTTGACGACTTCTTCGAGCGACACTTCTTCGATCACTTCTTCGACAGCCCCACCGGGCGTGCGAGGCGTAAGGGACGCTTGGAGTGCCCTCCGGGCCCGGATCCGTCCGCGGCCCCGGGATCACGGCACGGCACATTTTGGCTTCCTCGGGTGATCAGCATATACATCCGGCAAAAGGGAGTCAGTTCGTATAGATAGCTCGAGGAATGTAATGGAGTCATGTCGGATCGCTGTGAAGCAGATGAGGTAGAAGGATACTCGAGAGGGTCAGGAAACTAGCTATGCAACGTCCATCAAAAGTCGTTACCAGGCTTTGACCAGAATTTGCTTTGCTAGAGGTTCCCTTCTAGCTGCAAGGAAAAACATGTATGACAGAGGTATGTGTGAGTTATGAGAGCTATGCAAGGACATTGTTGTACGCGTTACATGGATAGACAGAATGTTGGACAGATTGACAACCCCAGGTTGACAGATGGTGCCATAGCTGCGTAGCTTGAGTCGACATGAAATGAAAGCTTTACTGTGTGTTTTTAGAAAGACTTGAAAGACTGGCAGTCAGTTGTGTTTTTGTTCATGCATGCGCATGCGCAGGTTGTGCTAGTTGACTTCGGCGGTTCCTCAACCTCCTTCATTTAGCCGGCGAGCATTGTTTGACAGATAGTCTTCATGATGCTGTAATACTGCACTCTTTGACATGTCCTCTGTCCTCTTACAATACATGAGCACCCTCCCCTTGCCACAACTGCTAAGCCCAGCTGCACTTTCAGGTGCACATGCAACTGCGCGGAGAAGCCACATGCTCTCAGTCGGGCGGCCCTCTGGTTGTGGCCGAAAGAGCTTCAGAAAACATGGGGGGGCGGAGCTGGGCAAGTTGTTGGGGACGACCTGTTGCTGTGGAGATGTCAAATACAAGGGCCCCCGCGTTGCAGTGAGATCTAACAGGAAGTGTCACTTTGGCCTCCTTCAACTAGCCCTACTGGAAATTTGGAAAGTGAACATAGGAGCCATCTGCAGGGACATTGACTCTGACACTTTGGGTGGGCTTTCGGCCAAGAAAAGCACGATCACAACTCAACCAGGAGCAAGGCCTGTCAAGCTCCCCTAAAAGTCTCCATCATTTGAGAGGCAATGCAAGGTATGCCCTCCATCACTCGCGTAAGCACGATCAGCGAGGCCAGAACGACTTCTCAAGCTACCAATCATCCAGTGTCAAGTCATGGAGTTTTCTCTTGGTGCCCAGAGCATGCAAAGACTTCCAGACTTTTTGTTGGGTTCGTTGGCTTTTCCGGGGCCCAGTTCGTGGAGTATGTCTCCCAAGGCAATCTGATGACTCAAATGTTGCCGGGCGGGCATCTTGTCCTGCAGAGAGTTTGGACTTGAGAGATGATGAGAGGTTGGGCAAAAGGTTTGAATGTTGGCACTCAGTTGGTACTGTGTATGTGAGGAATCCAAGTGCAGGTCTACTTTCAAATTTGGGTGCGCGATCAAGTGCCAGATGGAAAATCAGGAAGATTCTTACTGTCCACGGGGCAGTGTGTTTACCGCCTATCGCCCTTTCATTCGAGCAATATCTATTGCCTATTGCTTTGGAAAGGCTTGCGACGATGTCACAAGAGGGCCAAACTGGAAATGATGTAGATGTTTTTTTCTCCGAGAGAATCACAAAAGAAGGGGCCATGGAATAGGCCTTCTGCGGTCGGTCATGGTCAGCGACCACTCCCCTAAGGTCTTAGTGATTCTTAGGCAGTTTGGATTGATGGACCTTAAATATAACAAGAGCCCGGAAAATGAGTTGATGGGTCGAGATGTTGGACTGTGGGACAAGTTGACCTATGTCGCCATTTGCCCAAGTGGTTTTGCTTGGACTCTGACCTTTGCGAACCTCCACAGACGAGGCCGCCCCCCGCCCCCCAAGTGGCCGCAGCTGCCAGAAGCACCACCTGCGTTGGGACGCCCGTAGAAGGACCAGGGGTAAAAATAGGAAGGCATTTTGTCATAGCAATGACGCTACTAGTAGTTAAGCACATCGCTACTAGTAACAAGAAGCTACTAGGTTGGAGGCCATCGCTATTAGGTTGGAGGCCATCGCTAATAGTAGCAAGGACGCTACTAGTAGCTAAATGCTATTGGAGAAAGCTCAGTGCTTGGAGGAATGTGGAATCACCCTTTTTCTCTCACTCTTCAAGAAGCTGCAGTCTTTGAAAGACACCGAAAAGAGACCCAACTGTGCCGGCTAAACAAGGAGCATGACAGATTTTGTGGTATCCGGGGTAGAAGCAAAGCTGCAGAAGTATCAGCCAAGCAAGCGGAAGCACCCTTGATTTTATGGAGGTAGCAGGAGCGAGAGCAACAACAGAGGTATTTGATACCCGTCAATAAGACTGGAATGGGCTTGATGCAAGCTTGCTCAGCTTGCTCCAGTGAAAGTTTGATTTGACCATCCAAGACTACACTAGTCCCAGAAAATGGAATCAGTAGTTCTCAATAGGATTCTTCCTCCAACCCTCCCATGCTCCCTGAAAGCCCCACGGGTTCCCACCGACGCTGAGGTTCCCACCGCCGCCCCCAGCGGCTCCAAGGGCGCCTCCCCTGCCACCACCGCCACCCCCTGGAGCTTTGGCGGACTTGCCAGAGATGTGGGGCTCCCCAACTGGTCGTGATTTGGGTGTGAATGATTTGAGAATATAGGGCCTCCCCATCACATCACCTCGAAGAGGAAAACTATAGATCGAAAGGCCATTGGGCCAGAGTGGTCCGCGTAGTTCAATACACACCTGACCATGTCCGCGCATCAAACAGCTGAGCAGGTGGTGTGCATCGTGGACAGAAGATCGAAACACAAAGCCGGTTGGTTGGTGTGTTCCCTTTCTGCTTGGGCCATGTTGGGGCTGCTGATGTTAGAGCAAAGCATCCTGGAAAATGTCCAGGAAGGTTGCCCGTCCAGCACCGTCCAAGGCCTGATGTGAATCCAGAGGACTGTCGCCTGGGCGACTTCAGTTGGATGGAAAGGGGTTGGTGTCTTTCACGATTTTTGTTGTGTTTCACAATGATAGGACCCCCAAATCAACTGAATAAAAGAAGGATTGGCACCCAGTGGTTGAAGGGTCCAAACATCCTTTTTTTTGTGCAGTCATTAGTTCAACTAGTAGCCTACATGCATGCATACATCCAAGACCGTAGAGTCAGCACCATGTACACTGCATAAAAAAAGGCCAATAGGCATAGCGCCCACTAGTTGTACCCTGCTAGTGATTTGCAGCTAATACTTCCACACGGCATTGCCTTCTAGCAAAAGCCCACCATTGACATAGGGATGGGACTATGGCAGTACCTCAGCCTAGTCATCCGCGTTCCAGGGTAGAAGCTACTCAGAGCAATGGCACGCGTCAAGTCCAGCATTCGGTTTCCGTCAATCAACAACCAAGTCCTGGCATCAACAATAGCACCTGCCTGCCACTGTTCCAATTTCCACCTGCTATGCAGCAGCTGCACAAATGCCACCAGCTGCGGGCCAAAAAGGTCATCACCCACCAATACCTTGGCGAGTGTCCATTTTTTGCTATCCTCGCTCTACGGCTATCCTCGCTATGGTCAGCCTCGTTGCATCATGTCGAAGGCACAGTCCAAACCGAAGCAGATCCAAATTACATTGAGCATGGCCGCCTGAAAAAGTCATGTGCGGGTAGGCCTTGCAGCCCTTTGCCAGCGACAGACATACCTAATCATAAGAGGCTATTCTGATTTGCTTGTCACCTCTCAACAAGCTCAGGTTCCGACAAGCTCTCCAGTTTCAAAAGGTCTCAAAGCCTTTCAGGCGTTCCTGCATGGTCTTTGGACAGCAACCCTCAGGCCATATCAAAAAAAAAAGACCTGCTCTGCATAAGTCATCTCATCTGGTACCATCGCACTTGGCCAGTTCGGCACGGCGTGAGACGGCGCTCACCGGCATCTGGAAGTACTACAGGCGAAGGCTCGTTCGACTTTGAGACGGGCGCAAAGGAATGTCGAGAGCGACGTACCTTCATGTGTGTGACACTGTGTGTGTGTGTCGAGAAGTCCCGCTTTTGGCCGAAAGCACGTGTGCAGCCGTGTGCATACAGAAGACACTTCAGGCTGGCTTTCAGCAGTGAGAGGCCATCAATGAAAACCATATAAACATACTGCAGCCATAATTGCTGAAGACTTGAGACTTGGGGCAAGTCAGGTGAATTAATTTCTTTCACTGTCTTGTTTGGAAAAGTATTGAAAAGTGAGTTATTTGATGAAGTCTCCTTGGTTGACTTAAGCCAGTTGCGCTTCATACACGGGCTTTTGGCAAACTCCAGAGCTTTGATGATTGAGATCAGTTGAAAGCAACCAGCAAAAGAAGCCCCCGGTCCTTAAGGGCTGACTTCCAACTTTGGGCAAGCACAAACAAGCCCACAGAATCAGCTGCTTTGGACAAGGCTACAGTTAGCTCTGAGCAATGGTAGCTGCCTAACCCAAATCACTCAGATGCCGACGTCCGTCACTTTCTGACCTAGCAGCAATACCGTGCGTCCGACGGGGGCGGTGTTCGAGGTCGCTCGAGAAGAGCGAGCCATTGCTGTTGGGAGAGCGGTCTTGCAACGTTGGTCGTCTCAGGACCTTCCTACATTGGGTCAGAGCCTTGGAGGATCCACAAAGCAACGACTTGAAGCTGGGCCACGGCAACGGCTTCCTTTCGCAACGGCTTCCTTTAGGGGAGTATTGTTTTTGCAGCTAGGGCCGCGGAGTGAACTGCCGTGTTGTTTCCAGAGGCCGCATCTTGCTTTGATAGGAATTGTTTGCGAGCTGTCTGGCAGGAAGTACAAATATAGAAGGCAACATAGACTGAAGTCCATTGAATCCATTGAATCCATTGGTTGGGGTCGCCCCTTTCCTTCGACACATTCGATCACTTGGGATTTGATTGTAAGCCGTGTCCGGGTTTTCTCAGTTCTGATGCTCAAGTGTTGTGCCCAGAATCCAGAGGTCCTGTGCCACAGCCGCCTTTGTTGCCATGCAATTTGGAGGAGGCTAGAGACGCGATTGAGGGTGTACATTGGAGAGAGAAATCAAACAAGATGCGGGTCCAGACCGAGCAAAATCCATGTTGCAGTGTTCGATTGGGTTTTCATGGCGTTGAGGAAAGCAGCCAATTCGGCTGGATGGGTGAAGCATTGTGTCCATTCTTGTGGTCACAGTTCGAGAAAGAATCCTTGCTGCTTTTGTAGAGGCTCTCTCTTATTGGGTGATCTTTCTAGGGCAATGATGCCTTTTTGTCTCACTTCCCGAAGGCAAAGTCGGCACCATGGCTGTTGCGAATCCCGTGCCACTTGGCGCTGCCAGCCAATTTGGCGCTGCGACTCCGACCACACATGTTCCGTCAGACATCCCGAGTGGTGCAGGAAGGCTTCAATTTCTCAGGCACTTCTCAGAGACCAAGCGATTCTGCTACAGATTTCTGAGTTCATGGAATGTCCCCTGTAACCCGTGTTATGCATGGCAGGTAGATGCCACATTTTACCCGCTGATCGCGCGAGCGAGCGAGCGAGCGAGAGAGAGAGAGAGAGAGAGAGAAGCACCCAGCCCATTAGCCATTAGCCCATTGAGGCAATCTGACCGAAGCGCCCGAATTGGTGACTCGGAGCAAATTGAAGCCTTTTCTGTTGAGGGAACACAGCGGGGATAGGATATTTGTGTGCCATTTTTTGTTCAGTTGAAGGAGCAAGACATTTTCTTGTATCAAGCGCTTGTGCCGGAGCAAGCAAGTTGATGAAACAATGTTCAAGAGGCCCACCAAGATTGAAACTCTGGGCGGCTGCTCAGATCACTGACCTCCTGCGATCAGCCTGGAAATTCTTTGAGGCATTTGTTTGGACAGTGACTCTTCGTTCCAATGACACTTGCCTGTTGCAATGATTCCAGCTGTAGCACAAATGGATGTGTTTTGGCTTGAAAAATCCATCGATTTCGTCCGTACATTCCGGTGATCGACGCGTCAAACCATACCGAGGTCTCGATGGATCACATCCCAGAGGGCTCGGCCTTTCCCTTCCAGGTGATGCAAGGGCAGCTTGGAAAGATGGGACCGAGGAAATAGATCGGTCAAAACCTTGCGGGCCCTGGTTGAACCAGGGAACATGAACAGAATGGACGACCTACAGGAGGTCAACCTACAAGGGTTTAGAGCTGGTGTTGACCCACCGCCGAATTTGGGAGGATGTTTTTCTTTGACCCTCCTGTAAAGACAAGAACTTAAAACATGAGTTAAGGCCTTCAACCAAATATGGATATGCCAAAGAACTTCAAAGAACTTACTTGCAAAGATGTTTCCGATCATGTGATTGGAGATCAATCTAGGACACAATTTGATGCTTATTGCCCTTTGTGTGTTGATCGGAAATACGGTTTGTTTTTCGAGGTTGAAGCCATACTCTCTTCGCTTCAAGACATTCGCGGGGACAGGCATCAAAAACAGGTGGATAAGCATCAAAAGAAAATGATAACAAAACAATGATTAGTGTATACATTATGATAAAATAGCAGAATAATGATAAAATGTATAACATAAAGTTGTCCTTTGGTCCCCTGGTCCCCTTGGTCTGGTTCCTGGTTTCTTGGTCTCCCGGACCCCTTGCTCCTTGTCCTCCATTTTGGTCCCCTTCATTCCCTTCTTACTTATGTTCTTTGGGATACTTATGATTGATATTCGATGGAGTAAGCGTATGTGAACAGCCTCTCGGGGTGAAATCTCCAACAAACCTTACACTCCATTTGTTGGGTGCACTAAGAGCGCTGTAAGTACTAGCAGTTTAGGAGTATGCTTTTGGATCCCTATCATTTTTGCAATATCTGAGGACATGTTTGATTTTGTACATCTATTGTTTGATCCATCACCCTCATCAAGGCCTTCGTCCGGGCCCATGGTCGCCACAGTCACCTTCTGAGGCCTCCGACGCTCAGCAAGCCTCCTCCGGTCTACCCTGTTGCGCCTGCACCAGCACCTGCTGGCGCACCATTGCTAGGCACATGAACCCACCAATTCATTTGATTCAATCCAAACCAGTGAGTGACTTGGGCGACTGCCAGGTGGAATGACCAATATGGCATCAAATCTCCCTGGCACGAACATGATGAAACCAGGAATTGCCGGAGCCAGCCGCTGCCTCGGAAAAACGTTGATTTCGAACGCAACTCCAAAGACTCCACGAAACGGCGGAACGGACTCCGAGAGCTCCAAAACAGTTGGTGTGTTTTTCGAACAGGGCCTTGAAGGGCAGTCAATGAGGTGTTGAAGTTTCCTTCTAGTCTGGGGATCACCCAAGTACAGGTGCTGGGAGAAATGTTCCAATCACCAACTTCATGTGATCACCAACAGGGCTTCACCTTTGCCATTGGCTCGGAAAATGTGGCGTTTCGTTCAAAGTGTGTTTTCCCCATTGCAAATGAGAGAATTCTGGACGCAGAATGAGTGGTTCCATAGATTTTGATCCAGAAGTGGTCGTAAAACATCTTTGGTACATCGTGCCCGTGGTTGAACTTGCGCTTGCAGGTCTTCCTACCAACCCCTTGGGGAATACCATGAATGGCATGCTCAGCGTTTGGAGCCTCACTATGCTGAGTGAATCGAGATGATGCCTTTGGCATACTCGTACATTCGAGGTTTGGCAGATATGTTGTTTGGCAAGTGTTTGCACTCTGACCACAAAAGAACATGTGTTTGGATGACATGGAAAACGCTTATGGCCTTACAGGCTTCCAAGCATGCTTGTCTTTTGCACAGAACTTTGTGAGATGGAGAACAGTCACACACCCGTCTAACAAATTCTTTCAAAGTGCGGTGGCAGGTCAACCATGGATCAATCAAAATACCTTGCATGAAAAAGATATGAAAAGCCTTGCTATCTCATGTTACTTTGTTCTTTAGAGTTCCGATCATGCACATTCTGCGTGTTTGAGCCCACCAGAAAACCGTGCCCTCAACGTGGACTGAGGCGGCCCAGCTGGACAAGTCAGCAGGGATCCCCAAAGGAGACTTCTGGCGACGTTCAAAGCCGGGAACCAGCCACTCCAAAGTGGGTGACTCCGATGCTTTGCGTTCCAAACCGAACATTTTCTTGGTCCACTTATTTTCTGAAAGAAGATACTTGCGGAGATGGTTTTCTTGGGGTGGCGGTACTTGATGGCATCCTATGGCCAGCCACTTCACCTCGCCATATGCGACGTGTCTTTGAGCCAATGGTGCGTGGGCAGCTTCTGGACATGTCAGGTGCCAGTGGTGGAATGAGAAGTTGACTCTTGTGAAGACTGTCCTTTTGTACGCTTTCCAAGCTTGGATCTTGAGTGCAACTTGTCACTCTCTATCATGGATATCCCGGAATATACAAGGTTTTTCATTGAGGCACTGCACTTGGGGGTTTGATCCAGCCACATGCGCAAGGTCCCAAAAAATACCGAAAAGCGCCCTACAGCCTTCCTGGAGAAGAGTGAGAAGGCCCCAAAAGAGTGTAGAGTGCAGTTTCCCACAACCCATGTGGCTTTGGAAAATAGTCCTTTTAGATCCTTTTAGAGAGAACAAGTCATTTTCGATCTGTGCGGGTCACACATGATTCGTCCTGTGCGAGCGGAGATGTATGTTTCTGAAAAGTCACCGAATGCCATTAGAAGTGCAATGTCGTAAACCTTGCCTGGTTGGGTGAGTTGGCAGTAGATTGAAAACTTGATCAAGTGCATGACAAACTGCTTTGATCATGAAACTTCATGAGTTTTGCACAGAAAAGGTATTATGTCTTTTAAAAGAAGTCATGCAGGGTCTTTCATGAATCTCATACCTCTACTGCAGGCATTTGCCTGCCAGACTTCTTGGCACATCGCTCCAAAAACCTCGATCTCCCCCCGCTACGAGTTCGGCCGGTCTTGACGCAGGTCTCCCAGAGGCGCCGCTTCGGGGACGCCCTGGTAGACGGATGATGGATGTAGATGGCCAATATGCAAGTAGACCTGACCGGTCAGAAGCAGGTCTGCCAGGTCTGCCAGGTCCGGTGGGTGGTTTCAGTGGACTGGGTGGATGGCTGGGTAGGTGGGTGGCTGCAATGCTGACTTGCCTGAAGCACTTGGAGAGTCCCGGGTGTTCTCCATCAGGAGCCTGCGAGCAGGAGTCCAATCCGTACAGAAGCAGGCTGGGTCTGGGAATTTACAGGCTCTTCAGCATAGAAGCTTCGGAATAGTTCCAATGTGACCAAAAATAGTGACCCTTATCTTGGCACGTTGGAGAGGAAACGTGGAAATGGACCTCTCTACTTACAGAGTACATGTGCCCTATGGCTGGGTTTTGGTGCACGTCCAGCCCTACAGATGAAACCAGGTGGTAGCAGTTTGCAAGAACTTTTCCCACTCTTGGGACCCTTGGGATGATGTTCAAATGTCCAGAGATATTGTGGGAGCGACGCTCTCCAAACCTAAGTTTACAACCCCGAACGCTTGTAAACTCAGAACCAGGCCGTCACTTAACCTGACCTGCGATACGGTCCTTGATTCACAGGATGGCGACGCAGAAATGACCTGCGACTGCGAGGCCGTGGGACTCAACATGATCTCTTTTTGGAGGGTTGTTGTTAGGTCATGCACCAAAAAGCGCTCGACGGAAGAAGAGTTCACCTTCAAAGATGTGTGATTCTGAGTGGCACTGTGTATTAGTTGAGGCGATGCACGTCTCATGGCTTTTGGCATCCTTATCAAATTCCTTCAATCAGAGTTCTTCCTTCCCCGTTGACGTCGCAGGATTGAGCAAACATGAGCAGAGTGTGAAAAAGCTTTGGATTGGGCCAGTGCAAAGCCTTCAAACTGAACTGAAGGATGTACTTGTCACGGTTATTCTTGCCTCATCCAACGCGATGCTATCAGCTGCTATCGTTGAGGACAATGCATTGATGATCCAACAAACAAAGGATTCCTGACAGCTTCCCACCCTCCTTTTATTTTGATTGGAGTAAAGTCGTTGAGGGCAAGTTTGCGCATTGAAGTAGGAGCTCCTCAATTCGGTTTCATTTGGCCTTTTGTGGCTTTCTGCAGTCTTTCAGCAACGGGCCGCAAGAGTTATCTTTAAAAAAGAAAAGTCGAAACCTCATCCATTGAAACTTCAGGCTGGTAGCCTTTAAGCCATCGAAGATTTCGCTCAAGTGGTAATGGCAGCTATGTTTTTGGATTCCCTCGCAGTCCAGCTGAGACTCTTTGGCACCATGCACTGACTAGAACATAGTGGAGCCAAGCTTGAGATATCAAGTACATGAGGATGATTAAGGGTGAATTGCCTTCAGCCTTCTATTTTGTAACTGCTCTACTTCTGTGAAATGAGCCGCTCTTCTCACATCGCCACAAACGTTCCAAGCTCACATGCCCAACAAAAGTTCACATCGCCTGGCCTCAGCTCCAAGAGCTAGCCCACACATCATATTGAATCTGAATCAAGCGGGTCATCAAACACTCCAAGCGTCGGATGCAGCCACCTTTGCAGCCACTGCAGCTTCCGCCCGGCACTTGGAGCTGATGTGGTTGTTGCTTTGTGTGGGTGCAGAACGTGCAAAAAGAACATGTAGGCAAAAGGAACGATTGTTGAATAGACAGACCACATTCAATTGACCAATGTCCAATGTCGATTTGCATGGCAAATCGCTGGTAGACAGCCTGAGTAAAGCTGTACTTGTGCCACCCATGCAGTTCTAACTCGTTTTGGCCCTCCCAGGCTTGCACGTGCAGGCGACAGTCTGCTGGTGCAGAGTTCGATCGAAATTGATGCAGTTCAGATAGGCACCACCTCGTTTCAATACTTTGAACATCAGGGCAGGATCTGTGGGTCTCAAACCAATGGGTACCCCGCCATCTCCGCCTGGCACCAATTGGCCGGGCGACTCAGGATGTTCCACGACTGACCGTTCGCATTCAACGAAGCTCTTTTTCAGTGGAACATTTGGCCAGGAGGATCGGATCCACCTCCCAAACGGACTCCAAGAGACTCAGTTCCTAGGACTCTTTCCAAGGAACTGAGCTAAAGATACAATCCCAAACGGGGCGCGCAGCTTCAAAATCCCATCCTGTAGACAATAGATAAAACAGATAAAGTCTTCCATGACACGTATAGCAGCGAGAAATGCAATCTACCTTAGGTATGTTGATCCACGGGCGGGTGGAGTCACTGTCTTGATTAATTTGTTTCAATATATAAATGTTTTTTTGGAAATTAATTGAAAGGTGGGTGTGAGGAGGGTCAGATTGATTTTCACGGCTGAAGTGTCACCACCCTGATCCATTGTTGGCATGGAAGTGGTTTGACTTCCAAAAACTACCCAAAATAATATCGGAAAGACAAAGAGTTTGAGCAGGGAATCGTTTGAAGTTTGAAACATGTGTGAACCATTTGCAATCAGAAAGCGAAAAACATGTTTCTCATGGAAGCAACTGGTCTGGAATCTGCTTGGCCCATGGGCACAAGCAACCAGTGCCGCAATCAGAGACCCTGAACTTCCTTATCCATCCGGATAAGCTTGGAGTTCCCAAACTCGTGCTGGCCTACAGTCAATTGACAGAATGGTTGTTTGATCCGGGAGGGACTGCAAGATTTGGAAACACCACATGGAGGACTTTCAGCTAGATTCAGCTAGATATTCCGATATCTTCTCATCCAACATCGCTCCTTCTTGGAGGCCAGCTGGAGATCCACAGCAAGTCAGAAGCCTACTTTGGACTAACATGTTGATGCTTGCAAAAAACTTGAAAGAAGCCTGCACACCCATGCATAGACTACGAGCTGACGAGTAAATGCCTTCACTTGGGCAGGAAGTGGCCCAGGTATGTCAAAGAGACATATAAACCGCGAGTATGACCGATGTCTTGAGGAGTATCGGTAGTTTTTGCTGCACTACGAGTTTACACGCTTTCCAAGAGCTTGAGGGAAGCTCCCGTGGTCACGAAAGAGTTATTTCTGCTTGGTTGCGAATGCAATCAACCAAGCATTTAAGGTCGGGAGCTTCGGCACAGGCACCTCAGCGGGTTTTTGGGAGCTCCAGAAGGTACAAGTTTTCCAAAGACCAAGTCTGCCAGATGATCTAAGGAACTGCTGAAATGTGTTGTAGACTTCGGTGTCAGCCGCTTCAGATGCTTTCAACCAGTAAGTCAACATTCTGCTCTCCTTGTTCCCCGTGTTCTTGGGCCTTCACCGTGTCCGCTGCCCAGACTGGACTTCGCTTGGGTGAGCTCACTCAGCGCATCCAGTCAGTGGAGCGGCAGGCCGATGTCGCTGCAAAATCGGGGTGTCATCTTTTTTAGAGTTGAAACTGCGAGGAGAAGTGAACAACCATGCAGAACTGCTGAGGAGTCTTCGGTGTCGGTGTGTGTGTGTGTTGCCAATCAATCTCTTGTGTGGCCAATCAGTATGCACCTATGGACCATGGATAAGAAGGAGGCCAGGCCTGTGCAACGAAAGCATCTCTTGTCCTCGAGTGCAGGTAGAAACTGATCTGAGAGTCAGAAAGCAAGCCGAAGACTCTACTGTCAGGAGCTCAAGATCAGGCCATGACATTCTAACCGTGAACATCCATGATTCAATCCTCACCTTCTTGGGTTTGGGGCATGGGGACTCTTCAATCACGTACAGAGTGAGAGCATGGGTTAGACGCTTTGAGAATCACAAAAGTTCTTGTTTGCTCCTTTGCTGTGTTCGCTTGCTCTGGCCAATTCGGGCCACTTCGGGCACAATGGCAAGCCAGTGACGCTCTGTTGTACTGTATGTAGATGGCTATGCGCAGAGAAAGTGCATGCAACATGGAGCTCAAGTAAGACAGGCGAGAGCTTTAAAGGAATCAAATGCACTTCTAGCTTTCGCAACAGCTTGAGACGCCAATCTAACTGCGAGGTCGAAAACCTTTCACTGGACGCGCCTGTCTTAGATTCGCAGCAATCCCATGATCATGCGACTGTGGGGCATGCAAGGAGCCAAATTATAGATGCAATGAATGAAGCTAGACACAACACAGCTTCATTTCCACAAACAGCCAGAACGCTGCAAAATGTCATGGTAAATTTGCAGCACGTTACAGGCTTTTAAGTTCAGAACAGAAGGGTTGTCGATGCCTAGGGCCTTGGAAGCCTTGGAATTGATTGAACAGACACAGTCAGGTTAAGTTGTTCAAGGCCAGTCCCTTCATCCTTGTGGTGCCTCGTGTGCCGAGAATTCTGGATCAGAGGTTTTTGAATCTGATTACTTCTATCTCACGGGTGATGTGCTTGTACTTGGAATTAAATGTGATAGATTCTATGACGATCCTGCATGCGCATCCCAGTCGCAATTTTATGAGTAGACGCAGCAGCGACATCTCAAGATTTGCCCAATGAGTCAGCCTCGAAGCAGATGCGCCCAAGATTGCTTCCTGGCCTTGGATGGCTGGCTGCCTGAACTCAGAGTTATTCTGCAGCTTGATCTCCCCACACTCTCCAGAAGCTTGCTGATGCGCAGGGTGGAAGGCAAATCTTTTTAAGTGATGGCCTGCCAGGATACAGACTACTTTAAAGCAGGGCTTTGTTGAGGAACAGTATCAATCAAAGTGTGAAGTCCCTTGTTTCTGTTCTCATCCCTGAGGCATTTCAAGGATCTGGTTAGCACTCCTAAGTTTTTTCTCAACATTTGCAGCATTTTGCCAAGCAAGGGTGAGAGACTGGCAGGGTGAGAGAAATGGGCCTGCTCATTTTGAGCTTCTTGACGATATATAGTTGTTTTGATTCTCTTGCTTTCGAGCGTCTTGTACAACGGAACTGGTCCCCATACAGGAAAACGTGTCCTTCAAGATTTCCAACAGTTCGTCTTAGAGGGAACACCCACGTGACACCTCTGTCCAGATGGGCCGGGGAAAGGCTCCGCAAGCCGGGGCAGAACTCAACCAGTCAGGATGTCTTTTTTGCCGAGATCTTTGAACAACGCCCGATGTACTTCAAAGGAAATCTGCCATCTGCACAACGTTCGCACTTGCTGAGTTGGGAGTATCTGGATGAAGTTCTTTTGCGGTGCTTGTCTTTGGGATGCCCTGAAAGTTCAGAGCTCGTAATTTACAAGAATCTGGCTCCATGCGAAGACTATACGTCACCTGCCGAAGCATATTTACAAGGAGCCTCCTTGATTATCAACAATGTGGACCAGCTGTGGCGTCCTGTACACACTTTTTGCAGAGCCTTGAAGTTTCCTTCTGTGTATGCAAACTGCTATGTGACACCTCAGTTTTCGCAGACGGCTCCACCCCATGCAGACGACCGAGATGTATTGGTGCTGCAGTTGGAAGGAGAGAAGCACTGGTCCATTTACAGTTCACCAGCAGCCTGCAAGAATAGCATGCGATCCGAGGCTTGAGATCCTTCTAGGGAGAGAAAAATGTCATCAAGAACACGACTGAGTGTGTTGTTCTTCAAGGGCCATGCCTCAAGTGCATGTTCTTATCCATCTAGCAGAGATGGATTCACTTGCCCTAAAAGTCAAGCCCTGAGATTGCAGGAATGCATTGGATCTTTCTTTAGGACTTAGAACACTGTAGATGGAATTCATGGTAGCAGTGGAATTTGTTGGCCACGCTTGATCCACCAAACCATGTGACCTTGGGAGATTGGAGATTAACATCCATCCCCGAAGCTCAGGAAGGGGACTAAGAGGTTTTGGTCGTTGCTGAACTTCAGCTTTTGCGCACGCCTTCTGTTCGTCCGAGGTGTATTTGCCTTACCCATCTGAGCAAGTTGGCAAAGATCACTTGGAAGTTCCATGTGAAGTGCTAGACTCTCAGAACACTCGAATGCTGCAGACCTTGCGTGCAGGACCAACGCTTTTGGGATTATGGAAGACTCTTCTTTTGAAGCGAACTTGGGAGCATGACAACAAGCCAAAGAGAGGGTCTTGGGTGTTCATGTTTTGGCCAGGAGATGTTCTTTACGTGCCGCGAGGCTTTGTCCATGAGGCAAAGACCAGCAGTCTTTCATCCTTGCACCTCACCGTTGCCATTCCAACCTTTGAGCCTTGGCAATGGAGGCTAAAAAGATCTAAAACGCCTGTTTCCTGTGCCCTTACTAGGGCTGTTTCGGCGCAGGAGGCACGATTCAACCCACTGATTTCAAGAGAAACAACTTATAGAAGTCAGATGTTGAAACTGCAGGCCAAGCATGCAATAGCAAGAAGATGCTTAGCATCAATAAGAGCTTTGACGAAACTTTTGATATGATATAACCTCTAATCGACATTAAATGTGCGAGCCAACTGCTGTGGATGCTAGGCTTACAATCTGTTTTAAGAGTAGGCAAATACAAGTGAGTGGAGCTTTGGAAGGAGAACAGAAGTTCTTTTTTAAGGTTCAGGCTCTTGCTGACGACAATGTGTGCGAAGTCAGGATTGGAGCAAGTCAAAAGTGATGATTGATGCACTGCAAGATCATATTGATGGACCTGCAGAGGTCGAAAGAGAACCCATTCTCCAGCGCATCGGACAGTTCTCCGTTGGGATCGTGTTGGGATGGAAGGGAGGGACTGGAATGCTGCTAGATATATATATATACACATGTGCCTGTGATGATTGAAGCGGGCCGGAGATGAATGCGGTGTTTTGAGCACGGACGCGGAGCCTAGATATATGGCAGCATGTGTGGATGTCCCCGATGTCCCCCTTCATTTATTTTTGCAGTTTTCTACTATCTCAATCTGCTTCAACGGTGCAAAGCACAAATTTCAGGAGGTCCCTGGATTCCTGACATTGCTATTTTCATCCAAGTGTTGTTATCCATATGTCCGTGTTGGCCAATTTTGCTGATGTTTGTGCCAGCAGATTGTGATGGGAGGTTCCAATTTGGGAGTGTCAGGCGAAAAAGAACCCCTGGCGTCAAAGCATTCCTTTCTACGCTCCGTGGAACGAGGCCCGACTTGGAGATGCATTCCATTTTTTGAAAATTTGGCCGGATCCACAGTGTATCATACCACACAACTGCCACACGACTGCCCTAGAGGCCTTCACTTAGTCACTTGGAGCAGTTTGAAGTATAGTGGAAAAGGCTTGCTGAAGATGAATGCTTGTGAGGACAGATGCAACTTCTTTTTTTGCAGCTGGCAAAACATGTCAAGTCACATAAGAGGTTGACCTGAAAGCAGCTCTTCATCAAGCAGTGGAAGAGCTAGACATTTCGAAGGCCGGAGGGAAGCCATTGGTATGTGCACTTTGGATGGCCAAGGGTGCTGGGGAATGTAATTTCGAGGCGCTGCACCCTGTGAGGTTTGTTGCCAGTATGAGGATATACAGGATGGCTCCAATTCAGCAACGAGCATGCCTTGAGAGTCAAAAAATGTGTCATGGTCAATGTCAGGCCAAGAAGATCTTTGAGGCAAAGAACCACATGCATAATCACAGGCAAGCGCTGGCACTGCAAGCTGCAGAGTCTTTGTGCTTGGAATGCAGTAGGGCCACTGGGATTCGTCGAGGATCTAGGTTTCGTCAATCGTGGAATCCAATTTTGACCACATTTGTTTTGTAGGTGTTGGACATGTTTATCAAGTCCGTCCACAAGAACTGGTCTTTTCGGTGGCTTGTTTGAGCTTAAAGTGAGCGGACTGCTGGAGACACACCTTCCCGATCTGCATGCATCGCGTTGCCATCAACTCAAAGGAAATATCTTCGGTGTTTTGCGCATGCATATTGAGACACTCTTGAAGCTGTATACTTCTGTGGAGGCAAAATAACCGAGCTGGGTGACCCAAACCCGCTTCGCTGAGGCGCTTGCCGCGTCGAGCACTTCGGAGCTCTTCCACAGTAGTGTGGCACCAGAATGGTCGGCTGGAGGGCGATTTGTTGCTTGGCAGAAGTGGAACTGGCGGCATTCAGAACTTAGTTGCTTTTGACGGCTGTATAGGTCTCTTTCAAACCTAATTAAATTTCAGAGTTCTCAAAGTCCGCAACTCAAGAGCGCCTTTTTCACATCCGACACCAGTGTGTGGAGATTGAGGTGGCTGGCTTCCTTTGAAAGGATCAGTCTGGAGTATTTGTTGCAGACCTTGGAGAAAGGCCGACCTATAGAAGTTGGTCATATCTTTGGTGAGGCCATGAGAGCAAAAAAGCGAAGAGCTCCTTTGCTGGAGGACCAGCATGACGATTCTAGGCTAGACCATTCAGTGGAATGTTAGCTAGCATCTTTGGAGCAAGCATGGAGAGATGTTTGCGGACAGATGTAAGATGGAGGTTTCCCAATCTCATAGCCTGCTGGAGACATTTCCACCTGACGCAAGGATGGGGCAACCTCTCACAATTTGCCGATGCTGTGCGGCTTCTTGCAAATTTGCTTTGCTGCCTTGTGCATCGAGAACGGCCTGGCCACCTAGCTACATGGCCTTTGCAGCTGCGCCGCTGCGCAGCCAAACAAAAGCAAGCAAATCATTGTGTAGCGGTGGAAGGTGGACACAGGACTGTTTCATCGTGGCATGAGCCCTTGTGAGTTGCCTGAGACACAGGTTTTGCCTGTTTTGTAGACCAAGGCCTTTTCATGGGCCACACGGGCTCATGCTCTGACAGGAAAGGCTCTGAGGAAAAGGCGTGTCTCTTTTTCTTCTAACATATTTAATCGCTGTTGTGCCTATTTGTCTCCATGTCCAAACCAAGAACATGTCCAGCAAGTTTGCTTTGATCTGGAAGATTTAGTGGCCACTGGCACCATGGAATAGTCTCTAGCATTGCCATATTCTTATTCCTTTCTCAACCTACTCCCGCACTTGCTGCGTTTTCTGAGGTGCAGCGCTTGGAGGAGTGCTTGAAGCAAGAGACTGTGACTTGGATTTGCTGGAAGGTTTGACTGTTGCACCTTGTGATCCTGTAAATCTCATGGAGAAACATCCAACATCATCATGACTTGATCAATCTTAAGGAGCGGCGCTTGCGGGAGAATCAGGACTTGAAGAAGGCGGTGATGCGCGGCTTTGTGTCAATGACTTCGTGGAACATCAGCAGCAAACCGCACAGCTAAAGAAGACTTCTCGGCTTACTGTGAGAAGTGGCCTTTCCTCGGCCAATCAGAGGTGTTGATTCACTGTCATCAGATTTAATTTGCTGCAACTCACCAACCAAAATCAGGGGCATCATATTTTCTCATTTTGTGGCGGGATTGAAAGGAGCTCCTCCATCCAAAGCTGGCTGAAGCTCAAAGCAAGCTGGAGGCACTCCATCTGAACACGTGTTTTGCTTGGAACAAATGGATTGGTAGGGCCTATGTCATGCTACGTCACAGGGCAAGCAGGACAGACTTGCAGACACCTCATCCTCATCTTTTTCAATAACTATAACCTTTGGTCTTGAGGTCTTGAAATGTGGACAAGACCTTCAAGCAAAAATAACTGCCGCCATGGCTACCAATTGCTTTGGGCGCCCTGCTTCAGGTCTTCTTTCTTCATCGCTTCGAGCACGCGCACACCACAATTGATGTTGGGTCCTTGATCTATTTGAAGTGAGTGTGGTTTCCCCAAGTGTTCAGGGTTCTAGATGAAAAGAGAATGATCAGCATAGCTTTTTCCGAGACAAGCCTAGGCCTTGAGCGACCGACTGGATGCTGTGGAGAAGGCATTGGCTTGGACATTGTTTTTGCCGAGTCACAGATGTCAACCCATCTAACCCGGGATCAGCAGTCTTTGTTTGCCTTTGGGATGCTGTGGGAAAGTATGGCGCCTGATCTCTTTTGCAAAATGGGCGACGCCACCCTCACGCAGATAGAGGGAGATGTGCAAGTATACAGCCTGTGGTTCAACAGTAGGAAAAACAGATGACGCACTGTGATGTGAACCACACTCAACGCAGTGGGGGTGTGAAGGAGTGAGTTGGTAAGGAGGGTGAGGGAGTTAAGGACTGCTGGCAACATTGTAGGTGCTTGTGCTTTTGTGCAAGATAGCAGATGGCCCACTTGAATGAATGAAGCACCGAGTTTTGTTCAATGCCAACTTGGGCTCGGCGCTTCACATTGTCAAGCACCACATGTCATCGCTTGGCTTGTTGGTGCCACGCGATTTGGTGGTCTGCAGTTGCTGCCTTTCTTCTTTTGTTTGATTTACTGGCTTATTGTTTTGCTTTTTGTTTGCGCTTTTGTGGATCGCTTTTTTGCGTTCTGTTTTGGTGCTTTTGGTTGATTTTTTGTTGCTGATTTTGCTCAGTAAGTTTCGACACAAGTCGGCACCTAGGTGCATAATCGTGGAATTTCTGATAAGGACGCTCGCTACAACAATGTATGCACGTGTGAAGTCTATCATTCCCTGCAAAGCAAGCTCTTAGAAGAGATGTGCCAGCCACCCAACCAACCAACGAGCGAACCAACCAACGAGCGAGCCAACCAACCCACCAACCAGCGAGCCAACCAACTCACCAACCAACCAACCCACCAACCAACGAGCCAACGAGCCAGCCAGCCAACCAACCAACCAACCAACCAACCAACCAGCCAACCTACCAACCAACCAACCAACCAACCAACCAACCAGCCAGCCAGCCAGCCAGCCAGCCAACCCAACCAACCAACGAACCAACCAACCTCGGTTCGTTCGCTTCGGCTTTTGAATGTTCGTTGCAAGACTCTGACGTGCCCGATCGCCTCAATTCAGGGACCCGTCTCATCGAGACGCTTTTAGGCTACCTGATTCGACCGCGCTGCCATAGGGCATTGCGACTGAAGGTGAGACGCCTTCGAAGTCCATTCGTGAGGATTGGAAGAAAGTGCAGCGGCAGCTTGAAGACCGACTTTGTGGTTGCTTTCACTTGAAGTGGTAGGGAGCAAGCGCGACCATGTGACTCGCACAAACACGGACGAACCTTTTCCTGCGGGGTGTTGGGCCGTGATGGGCTTCGATCCATGAAAATCACTGTGCACTCTCAAAAGAAATGACATGATGGTCAAGCGTCTTTTGACTCTGCCCATCCCTCCCTCTCAGATCGAAGCCTCTTCTTATAGGCTCGCTGAGTGGATCGTTGATGAGTCCTGACTTCTTGCCACGCTTGGTCTTCGACCACTGTCCACTGTCCTGTTGCCAGGATGGTTGACAAACCGTCATTGCCACGAAGCTTTTTTAAAGAGTCGGATGCTTGCTGTGGTCCAGCTACAAAAAGAAGTGGAATCCGGATTGGCCAAGGATTCCCGGAGTGCTCGGACATCAAGAGCCGTTCTACGGTCTTGATTGAGCTCTTCACTCGACAAGCAATCATATGCCACCTTGGCATCTATTACAAGCAGGATGGGACATGGCTTAACATGTTCAAGCCAACGCTTCATAACAAAACTTGGATCTCGAACTTCACACAGGATCGCACGCAAGAACTCTGCATGTTCGTATCCTAGTGATGCTGCTGCTGCCTCTACTGCTGATGAACTACGTACGACTCTCTTGCACGCTGTGCTACACCATTCAACAGGAGCTACAGCGTTCATTTCGCGCTGCACACGAGGATTGGCCAACATCAAGAAAATGCCAAGTTGCGACTTTCCTCTTGGCATGGCAGCCAATGCTCCGTCTGTTGCGACGATCACCATGATCTCCTTCAGAGAACGCCCGAGGCCGCGTAACAATGAACGAAGTTTCTTGTTTGGCTTTCAGCGCAGTGTTGTTCCCAACCTGAGAGTACTTCCCGTTGCATCAACCAGGTTTTGTTGAAGGAAAGAGACCGCAAATGCTAAATCCGGTCTTCCTTGTTTCGCAAGCCAACCTAGTTGTCCAACCAATGCTCGCAACTGTGAGGATTGCTGTTGATTGTCTTTCATAGAACTGTCAAATTGGATCTCTGTCAAAGCAGCGCAGTATTGATTCATGTCTATGGTCACGGAATCTTCACTTTGACGCATGACGCGTCCAAGGATTTGCCTCCTTCTTTCAAGTCGGTCCAGCTGCCAAATTTGAGTTCCTTCTGCAACTTCTCCCAGTCAGCCTCCACCTCGGAACTTCCAGCCAACAAGGCATCGTCCACGTGCAGAGTGATGAGGCCGATTAACACACCTTGGTCATTCGTGCTTCATAAACAAACATGGAATAAGCTTGGATTCTTTGAGCCCCAGGTTGACCAACGTTTCCCGGAACCGAAGATACCAGGCTTTCACTCAGTCCCAAAATTCCTTTTGTTGCAAAGCGCCAACCCATGTAGTCAAGCACTCGAAGGTGTGCGTATACAAAGGATCTGTTCTTGGGAGTGCCAACATTTTAAAAAGGCTGCAGTCACATCTGCAATGTTGATTTGCCAACCCAACGTCGTCGCTATGCAAATCAACAAGGAGTGAGCAAGGGAAAGAGCAGTTGGACTTGCTGCTTCATATTTCCCCAAATCAGGGTCCTTGTGTCCTCCAACACAAAGTCTTCCTTTGGGTTCAAAACCAAGCTGTGGTTGTTTCTTATTTACGATGACCATGCGCGATCTGATGATTCGCTCTTTGGGAACTAACTGGCCTACCACCGGTCGAATGGCTTCGTGCTCAAGATGGATGGAAAGCGCTTTGATCAAGGAAGGAATGGTGAGCTGCACCTCTGACAGCGTCATGTCTTGAATGTATATTTCATTCCGAGCACCTCTCGTCCCCTTTCCAATTCACACTGCTCAATCTTCAGAAGGTCCATTCCTTCTGGCAGAACCATTGCCGTGTCTCGAAGAGCAGCGGTAGGGTATAAGTTCCGATTCCGGCATGCAGCATGAGCAAGTCAATGACTTGTCTCACAAGATGAAACTCAATGCACATCCCTCACAAGCACAATTGTGGTAGATCCCCAAGACATAGGAGGAGGATAAAAGTAGAGAATTTCGATAGAGGCACTGGACCTGAAGTTTGGAATGACATTCATGCCCGCTTGCAACAGTCGCCTGGTCTCCATGACCTTTAATTCAAAACCTTATCAGTGAACTCCCACAGATGAAACGACATCAAACGTTTCCACATGACGTCCTGGACCGCATGGAGTGTGATCACTCCAATCTGTTTCAAAACCCGTTCTTGGAGTGAATCGGTTGCAGCCTCCAGTTGGCACCTCGGTCCAGGTCGTGACACCGAGGTGCCAAACACTTCAAGAACACAGAATTTCCTCTCAGGATTATGCTTTGGCATGTCTCTCAAAAGGGTTTGGCTGAATGTGGTCCCTTTCGAAAGTTTGCCAGCAGGAAAACTTCAGCGGAACAGGTCCGTTGGGCCTCGAGCTGGCGAATGCTGGGGCCAAACGATGACCTTCGAAGATATTTTGTTTGGTGCAAGATCAGGTGAGCTTTTCCGGAACGTTTTGAAGTGCATGGCATGCTGAACAAAGATCACTAGAAAATTGTAACAACAAATTTTGGAAACATCTCTCAGTTGGCTGTTTGGTCTAGTGGTATTATTCTCGCTTTGGGTGCAAGAGGTCCTGGGTTCAATTCCCAGAACAGTCCTTTTGCGTTGATCACCATTAAAGAACAGATTTGCAAATGTTCCGGAATGAACAGATTTAAATGTTCTAGTTGACTCAGAAAGCGGTATCAACCATTGTGTGGTGATGCCTTACAATTTTTTTGCTGTGATATTTCGCTTTGCGTCCTGCACCTTTTGTCTTTGAAAAACCTAAGACTGCAACAATACAGTACATAGCTGTTGCACTGGTGATGCTACACTTCACCACCAGACTTGGTGAGAAGCATGAGATAGCTGAAGTGCTGACCCGGCTATGCCGATTCCCTGATCGGCTGATTGCATGCTTGTTGCCGTGCCTCCTCAACCGGTCGGAACAGCTCTTGGTTCTTGCATGGAGATGGAGTGGAATTTGAAAAACAAGATTCTTTCATGGTCTGTAGTTGTGGACCGTTGTTGTCCAAGAGAGGTGTATTTGATGCCCCCTTGTTTTCTTGAGTTTCACCCAAGGCTTCCTGGTGCCTCCAGAGTTGGAAGCCTCAAAGGCACCTGCCCTTTTGTCAACAATTGCAGGTTTCTTCTCAATTCCTTTCTTATCTTTCTTCTTCTTGCCTTTGCCTGCTGGTCTTTTTGCAATCAGACCCATTTCCTTTTTGAAGTCTTCATCATTCTCCACCATAGGAAGACTTATTTTACACTCCCCACATGATGGTGGGAACCGCGTTCGGACAAGTTGAAGGAGGCTAGCAAACCATCCTTAAAACACAGTCTTTACAGAACAACGTGGTCACGTCTTGGAAAAACATGATAGCGCGGAGAGTGTTGGTCAGAAAAACACAGGCGGCTAGCCACACGGGTGCTGAGACCAGAAACGTGCAGCTCACACAAGTTTGGCGTCCACAACCCTTCGTTTTCGTTCAGTTTTTGGGGGGTTGTGGGGGCTTTAGAGCTTCTGATTTGCTGGTGTTGCTGCTCATTTGTGCTTTGGTTTGGTCAAAATAGCCTCAACCGTGCTTGATACTTTCCCTGGAGTAATGTTTGTTGCATGGAGCAGAAAGTGTCCTGCAAAACCCCACCAGGACTTTAGTCGAGAAGCAGACGCAAGAAATACATGGCGATGCGAAGATTTCAGACCTACATCTACGTAAAAAGCACAAGTCCAAATGGGGCGAGTTTTGGGGCACTGGGAAATACCAAAATACGCACAGGGTGGATGTGATTTGAT